AGGGGGCGGCGGCAGCACTCCACAATGGTTGCCCTTTGTGTGGTTGGACAATATCGTGGATTTCAAGCTCATCTAAAATCTGAAAGTGCCCACTTGGGTGCTAAATCCTTTCACCACAGACTTTGCACAACTTCATCCCAAACTGCAAGAGCCACTGACAGATCTGAAACATGACTGTGAAGCCCAATCACATTTTCAGAGTTACGGCTACAAAGCTTTTTGGGTGAAAATAAGGAACACTTACCCAATATTGTGGGAGGAGGTTAAGTTGCTTATTTTAGCCTCGCCTTCCACTTAGTGGAGAAGGGGCTTCAGCGCCGCCCAACAGATGCTTTCTAAGTCAAGGAAAATGTTGAAGATCACTGACTGCAGCGATTTAAGAATGAGATTAACAAAAATGGTTCCAAACATCAAGAAATTGGCATCAGCTCACCAACCACAAGGCAGCCATTGATGCTTTTTTTTGCTTTTTGCGTACATACATTTTCTTCATTAATAATTGTCTCAGCTCTTATTGTTGTATTTGCTTGCATTGGATTTCACTTTCCAGTTTGAGTTTTTGGCTTCGTTTTTGAATTATTGCTGTGCTCTGTAAAACATTTTGCGTGTCTCTTCGTATTGTACTTTTTTAGTGTGCACTCCAGTTCGATATTATATTTTGTTTTCTCGGTTTTATTGTTTCAAATTTTTTTTGTGCTCTTCGTGTAAACTTTGTGTGTGTGTGTGTACGTGTGTGTGTATAGTCTCTCTGATTTTTGTTGCTTTCCTTCTGTAAAAATTTTTGTGTCTTTTAAACTCTTTTTACAGTGTGCATGAATATATATTTTCCTCCAATCTTAATTTAGTTTCAGAGTTTTCGTCTTGAAATTTTTAGTTCCTGCATTGTGGTTTGTTTTTATGCTCTTTTTATATTTCTTTTTGCGTCTTAAAATTCACTTGTAACAAAATCATTAAATGTTACTTTTTTCGGGTATTTCATTTTCTTGCAATTGAATCTGGTTTTCAGGGGTCATTGGATTTAAGTGTCTTTAATAAATAAATAAGTAAGATATCATCGCTGTGGGGAGGGGGGGGCGATGATAACTTCCTCAATGGCTCAAGGGGGCGTTTCTTTCAAAAAGGTTAAGAACCACTGATTTAAATCAAACCCACCCTGATTGGAAGGCATTATGTTGAAATGATGTCTACAGCATTAGGTCTGGATGTCAATAAGAGAAGGCACTTCAGTTAGTGTTTTCTTTCTGGGTACAGTATATGCCTTTGGGAATTAATGCTATTGGTTTGTTTATATTTTTCTGAAATAGCACTTGTGCCTTAGCATATTTATTCATTTATTTAGAAACAAGTTCTGCAATGTTTGTGTGAGATGCCTCCTCTGGTAAATGTGCTTGTTATTTCAGCCTTGGTTTCAACAGAGTAAATCTGTTTAGTAGCCTTTAATCTTAAAGATTAGTTTTGAAGAGTGTGTGTATGGGGCAGAATAGTTTTGTTCTGGTCCCTTCCTTGGGTTGTGAATATGCAGATTTGTAGGACAAGGAATAAATAGTTCTAATGTTGACAATTATTTTTAAAGACATTTTTAGAAGCCCTGTCAGTAGACTTTTATCAAATTTTGTTCCATTTTAAAATTAATATTTAAGTGTGGCAAGCTGTAGAACAACCAGTGTGCTCAGAAAACTTCCAGATTTTTTTGTAACATTAACTTTAAGTACGTGCTTATACAACAGGAGATTTGCTTTTTATTAATGGTGTCTGTCTGTCCGTCCTTCTGTCTGTCTGACCCTGTTGCATCCTACAGCTTGGTTGTTAGAATGTGAACAGTGGCTAAGCCATGACTGAGAACGTTTATATGAAGAAAAAGCTCTTGACTGGAAATATCTTTTCATAAATATCCTAATTTTATATTTTCATCATATATGGTAAAGATGAATTCCTGACCAGCGTCCTTCACTGCTTTTGTAGCTAAACTAAATCCAACAAAATGTTTAGTAAAATTTGTTTCTATAGTAAATTTTCTTTGTTACCATATTTTCCCATGTATAAGACATTCCGTGTATAAGACAATACTATTTTCTAAAATGTTTAGATTAAAAATTGAGGGTCGTTGTATATACGAAAGTAAGGAGGGGGAGGGATCAAAGCACTTAATGATTCCTGCTTTCCCCCTCCACTTTCTTGCAAGGAAAGTACTTTCCCCCTCTATTTTCTTCGCATGAAGTGGAGGGGGAAAGCAGAAATCAAAGTGCTTTGATCCCTGCCTTGCCCCTCCACTTTCTTGTGAATAAAGAAATTTTGGGTTAGAAAAGTGGCGGAGTTTCTTACACATGGAAAAATATGGTATATCCCTGTCTTGATTCCATAACCCAAGTTAAAACTGTGTGCATCTGCCTTGCTCTGAGCTTTCTTAATTGTAAGGGAATCAGTCATGTAATAGTTTGACAAGCTGTTCATGTGGAAAAACAAAGATGGAGGTTTAATTAATATTTTGAATTGAATAATGGGTACAGTCGACAATCCACGTAAGTTTTATTCTGTAGTTGACACTTGTCAGCAATCCAGAGCAACAGCATCTTAGAATTATAAAAATGGCTGGGTTTCAAATTATTAAAATGGACTACATGCTACAAAACTTTGTGAAAGCACCATGTTTTAGGCTCTTTTTCAATACTTGGAGTTTGGTGGCTTCTCTGGAAAAGTTAAGTTCCAAATTAGCGAATCTGGAACTTAATTGATGGCATTGTACTAGATGTGTTCCAGACTAAGATAGATTTAATAATGGTTGTTTTTTATATTTTCAAACATGACGGATCAGCCATTACTAATTAATCTTGTCTCACCAACCATAGCTGCAGGCTAAAACCTGCAGAACATGATCCTGTTTCAGTCTGAATTTTACAAAGCATTCTTCACCCACATGGTATTCCGCAGATGATTTCACCTGCAACTACCATAATATTTTGACCATTGACCATACTGCCCAGGGTTGATGGGAACTGTAGTCCAAAACTCAATCCAGACAAAACGGAAGTGCAGTTAGTGCCGGACAGGTTAGAGGGTCATTTCCCTGCCCTGAATGGGGTTACACTCCCCCTAAGGGACAGGGTCCGCAGCCGGGGGGTGCTCCTGGAAGCCCAGGTGGACTTGGTGGCCAGGGGCGCCTTCCTTCCGCTGCGGAAATTGTACCAGCTACGGCCCTACCTGGACGAGCGGAGTCTCATGACAGTTACACACGCACTGGTAACATCTTTTATAGATTATTGCAATGCGCTCTATGTGGGGCTGCCTTTGAAGACGGTCCGGCA